ACATGCACCTCTGATTAGCTTAACTATATATACTAGTATATACATTTATAGTGTAGTTGTAGTTCTTTGACTTTGACCTGAGATATATAAATTCAAATATAAAATTATATTTGTCATATTAGCTTTATATATATTAGCTTTAAACACAAACTATATTAGATATGTAGTTTATAATATAATATATTGTAGTATATAGTATATATTGTATATAACACAGTATAGTAATATATACTATAAATACATATATACTATAAACATACATTGTATAACATACTATATTATAATATATATTATATAGTACATGATATAGCAAATAAACTAGCTTTATGACTCTAAAACTTAAGGTTTATTTTATCACCTTGAAAGGAAGTGGTGATATTTTTATTTTATCATGTGGGATTGAAGGAGTGCATTGTTTAATAGTGGAGAAAGTACTGGAGTAGAGGTTGGGGGTTACTGCTTGTGGTCCTGATGTTACTCATAACTGGATGTTACTCAGGATTCTCTCTCTCTTTCTCTCTCTCTCTCTCTCTCTCTCTCTTGACTTGAGAGGATTGGAGTCAGTCTTAAAGGGTTTTCCCCAAGATGTATTTCAGCTTGGCAGGAGAGTTTCAGCAGCAGTCTCAGTGGCTTTCAGTTGTTGGAAAAGATGCACCTAGCCCTGGCATCTTCAAATAGAAAGTTCCCCGGCGCTCTCCTTTCTATTTCTCTCCCAGGGAAGGAGTCATGGGGTTTTCCTTTAGAGCTGTGGTCTTTTCCTTTATTGTCTCACCATCATTCTGCTTTAGATCCTGAGATGTAAATAACTGTTTAGGTAGAAACTATTTTGTTCACTGATGTATCCCAAGGGCCTCAATTAGTGCTTGGCCTAGTGAACATAATATATAGGAACTCACAATTTTGTGGAAAGGCCTGTTGGAGATTTGTGCAGGGTGGGACACAGGGAAGGTAGCTTTGGTTAGGCAGTGTTGGGATGGAATGGGAAACTGGTGAGAGAAGGTGTTGGGATTTTTGAACTGGATTTTTGGAAAGGTGATTCCCTCCCAAGGTGCCAGGGAGGGGCAAAGGCAGGTAGGTGTGTGTAAAGGCAAAAAACAAGAAGCCAGTATGGGTGGAGAACAGGGTTTGAAGTATTATGGGAATAGCTATGGAATTTGAGGTTGGAGAGTTAGGCCACAAAACTAGATGATGAGGAAGTCTTCAACACCATGCAAAGAATTTGGAATTTCCTGTTGACAGAAGGTAACTTGCAGGATTTGAAGCAGGGAGTGATGTAATCAGGTTTGTATTTTAGGAGGATTATCGATGGTGCCATGAATTAGAGCAAGGGACACGGGATTGGAAAGGAGATGATGGATTCATTAAATATTTAGGGGCTTAGGAAGTCATGGCTAAGAATGAGGGAGAGAGAAGAGTCGAGGACTGTCCTATGTTTTGATTTAGGAAATTCTATGGAGGTGGTCTCATTAATGAGATTAGGAATGCAAGAAGAGATTTTGGTGAGCACCAATTCAATGTATAGGTTTGTCTTCTGGGATACAGGTCTTGGCTGGAGATAATGGATTTAGAATTTATTATCAATAACAGTTAAAAGTAAAGAGTGAATGAGAGTACCAGCAAGAGCACTAGAGTGAGAAGAAAATAAAGGTAAAGAACAGGGTGTGGGCCCCTCTAGTATTTAAGGGTAGGCAGGGAGAGGATGCCTGCAAAAGAGATAAGATGTGGCCAGAGTCCTAGGACAGCCAGGCAGTGGGATGCCAGAAAAGCCAAGGGAGGGGTTCCCAGAAGAGAGAGTTACCAAAGGTGTTAGATTAAATTAAGTGCTTTATAAATAGAAATAGAAAAAAATTTTTTTATAGAAATACTAGAAGCCCGATGCACGAAATTCGTGCAAGGGTAGGCCCTCACAGCCCTGGCTGCCTCGGCCCTTGCAGCCCTGGCTTTGTCTGGAAGGTCAACTGGAAGGTCGTCTGGACTGTCTTTCCGCTGTTCAGCTGTCCAGTCTAATTAGCATATTACACTTTTATAATTATAGATAGACATAAAAGTTATTTGTGTGGTCAGTGGTGACTTTTACCAGAACACTTTCACTGCTGTATTGGGTTAGGGAAGGGAAATTGGAAGCTGTTCTTTGAGGGTTCAGGAGGGGACCACCCATTTACTTGACCCAGAACCCTGGGCGTCATGCTTGGTGACTTCTGCTTCACTCCCACACCCAGTCAGACACGGAGTCTGGCATGAAACGGGGTTTCTGAGTGTGACCTTGAGATTCAGGATTTCTGGGTTTGAATCCTGGTTTCACTCCTAGTGAACTGTAAAACCCAGGGTGAGTTATTTAAGCTGGCTGTGCAGTGTAGTGGAGGTAATAAAAGTATCTTAGGGAGGTTGTTATGAGTAAAGTGCTTAGTTTAGGGTAGTGCCTGGCACCCAGTAAGCACCCAGTGAATGTTAGCTGTGCTGAATCCTAAATATCTTTTGGATGTGTTCTTCCTGGATTGCCATCATAGTTTTTTTTTTTTTTCTCAAAACAACTTTATCATGGTACTAGAGGCCCAGTGCACGAATTTGTGCACGAGGGGCTGGGGGGCGGGGGGGAGTTCCTCGCCTGGCCAGTGATCGGGGCCAATTGGGGCCATCTCGTCAAGTCCCGATTGGGGCTGATTGGGGCCAGCCGGCCAGGAGGGGGCTGGGGGAGGGACCATGGAAGGTTGGCTTGTCACTGGAGGTGGTCAGTGTGCATCATAGCTACTGGCCGGTCATCTGGTTGTCCAGTCATCCAGTCGTAATGGTCACTTAGGCTTTTATATATATAGATATAGATATAGATATAGATATAGATATAGATATAGATATATAGATATATAGATAGATAGATAGATAATTTACGTATTATTAAATTTATCTGTTTTCTGTATACAACACATTCTAATAAATTTACAAAGTTGTGCAGCTGTCACCACAATTTAGTTTTAGAACATTTTCTTCACCCCAGTAAGCTCTCTCATGCCCATTTACAGTTAATCCCCACTCCCACCCCAGCCTTAGGCAACCATTTATCTACTTTCTGTCTAAATCCAGTTACCTTTTCTGGGTAGTTCATAGAAATGGAATTAGACGATCTGAGGCCTTTTGTGTCTGGCTTCCTTCATTTTAATTCTAGTTTTTTCTTTGTTGTAGCATATATCAGAACTTTATTTCTTTTTATTGCTGAATTGTATTTCATGGTATGGAAATATAATGTTTTGTTTATCCATTCACCAGTAGATGGACATTTGTTTTCACTCTTGCTATTATGAATAATGATGCTGTGAGCATTCCTGTGCTCGTCTTTGTGTGGACATATGCTTAATGGCTTCTTAATTGGTCCTCCTGCTTCTGTTCTTGTCCCTGTTCAATCTGTTCTATACACTGTAGCTAGAGTGATCTTTTGAAAATGTCAGTCTAATTGTGTCATTACCCTGCTTAAATCCTCCAGTAGTGCCCAGTCTGCCCCGGGATCAAGTTCAAACTCCTTAACTTGAAGGGCTTACTAAGAGTATTCAAACCTAATCCTCTTTCCATATTCTCTCACTAAGCCCCCTCTCCAGCTTCCTGCTTCAGCCATTGTTTTATTCATTCATATTGTTCCATTCATTTATTTAACCATTTATTCAGTTAACCAGGCTTATTGAGGCTCTGGGGATAACATAGTAGACAGGATAGCCACATCTGCTTTCATGGAGCTTTCTTTCTAGTGTGAAAGGCAGGCTGTAAGCAAGAAAGCATCAGATAGTGGTAAGTGCCATAAAGAAAATGAAAAAGGATGATATGATAGAACTGAGGGCTGATGACTCAAATCTTCTAACCTGAGTGTTTCTCAGAGCCTGCGCCCTATTGCCAACTGCTTATTTGTTATTCCTTCCTTTTGGAGTACTCTTATCCTACTCCTCTTCCTAAGTCCTATTCAGCTTCCCAGCCCCATGCCCAGCCACACTCCCAAAGCCTACCTAGATGCCCCACCCATTATGCTTTCTGAGTACTTCATCACAGACCATCTGTCTTGAGTAGCACGCTTCATATTATATTTAAACTAGAGACCCGGTGCACGAGATTTGTGCACTGGGGAGGGGGTGGGGGGTGGGGGGTGGGGTCCCTCAGCCCGGCCTACACCCTCTTGCAGTCCAGGAGCCCTTGGGGGATGTCAGACTGACTGAGGGAGCAGGCCTAGGCTGGCAGTCATACATCCTTAGGGCTGCGCGGAGGCGGGAGAGGCTCCCGCCACTGCCGCTGTGCTAGCCACCTGTGAGCCCGGCTTCTGACTGAGTGGTGTTCCCCCTGTGGGAGTGCACTGACCACCAGGGGGCAGCTCCTGCGTTGACCACTGGTCTGCCCCCTGGTGGTCAGTGCTCATCATAGTGAACGGTTGTTCCGCCATTCGGTCGATTTGCATATTATTAGCCTTTTATTATATAGGATGTCTAATGATTTCCTGTTTCTTCTTTACTTTAAGCAACTTGGTAATTGCTGAGTACCTAAAGTCTAGCTTAGTTCCTGGCACATAGTTGGTGCATAATAAGATCTGTTGAAGACTGATTGTGGTTAGTCTTGAACAGGAGGGAGGACCAGACCATTTCCTTTGGGACTGGAGGGAAGGAAGGAGCTAAGGCGCATTGCATGCATACATTAATTTGTAGGATTGGGGGAAGCAAGTCAAAGGAGTTCTGATGGCTTGCATTTTCTCAGAGGTTACCATTTAGTGCACAGTATAAAATGAGGAGAAGTTATTTATAATGAGCAATTAGCAGTGCATTAGAAGAAATAAAAAGTAGTGCTGTGGGGTGCTTCTTGAAATCTTAAAACTGTTCTTACTTGCTTTTAGTTTTATAGCTATTAGATTTAGCCTAATTTCTTTAGGCCATTCGTTATGTATTGATATGGATGATTAAATTACTTGGATGCTGTTGTACTGCTCTCTTTCTTGCTCTTTTATAATTGATTTTATTTTGATGTTGCTTTTTCAGCTTTCGGAAAATGTGATTGATCGTATGAAGGAAACATCTCCATCAGGCTCGAAGTCTCACCGATATTCTGGTGCTTATGGTGCCTCAGGTATTTCAGAACTTTAATATTAGAATTTTTTTGGTAGACAAATCAGAAGTCATAAAAATTCATTCGATAATCAAGATCTTTGGCCCGTTAGTTATTTGGATGTTCTGCTTTTTCTAGGGAATATTAGACATCAGGATCAGGGTTTCTTTTAAAGTGTTTTGAACTAAAAGTAGAAGAGTCTGCTTTCAAACAGTGTTTTGGAAATTTTTTTTTCTCGTTCAGCTCCTGAACCCTCTGTTAGTCTTTGGAAGGTTATTTCGTTATCTTTTTTTGTGTAAAGTGGATTACTTACAGAGATATTAGAGATTGAATAGTAAATATTTATTAAAAAAATCAATTTAGAAAGTATTGATTTACTGTTTCCAAATTGTGAACTATCTCCCATGAGTTTATTTTCTAATACATTTATTTTCTAAGTTTATAAACAGTCTATTTCTTTATAGTCAGTCTTAATTATTGATGAAAATATGGTGTTAAGTGAAATACATAGGGAATTTTAAGCCTCATTTTATCTGTGGATCATGCAGGATAAGTGAGTATTTCTCTTTCCTTTCCTCTCCCCTACCTGATCCATCTGCTCATCCAGATAATATTTATTGAGCACCTGCTGTGTGTGGCACTGTTCTTGTTGCCCAATCCAATGAATGGACATGTGGTTTATTGGTGAAGTGGCAATGAGAAAATAGTCAGGATGGTTAATTGTGGACTAAATGAGAATTTTCTGTGTTTATTAGGGGTTGTGTGGTAAATCTGGCTACAGACTGAAATACATTGAGAAAAGTGAGATGCTGTCCAAATGCCATTCACTTTTCATAATCATTAAGTCGTAACCATGAATTCAGCTTCTGATATGTTTACAGCAGAAGGTACCAAGATAGAGAAGAAATAGTTCCTGCCCCTTTGAAACTTCTCGTTTAGTGGGAGCATTAGGAAGGCTTCACAGTTCATTAATGTTGGATAGAACGTGACCACTCCCTCCTGGCTGGAAACCCCTACTTTGGCTTCTGGGCTGCACTCTGGTTTTCCTCTCCCCTCACTTGCATCCTTAGTCTAGCTTCCTTTGCTGATTTCCACCAAGTAATCTCACCTTCTGAATAATTATGTAGATGCTGTGACTCCCCAAATTCCACCCAGCTTTGACCTCTCCATGCAACTCAACTGAGACATCTACCCACTTGAAGTCTCCACTTGGAGATCTTCCACTTAATCTAGCCAAATCTCCCCCACCCCCTTTTTTTTTTTCTCCACAGTTCTATCTTTCCCAATGAATGGTACAGGTAGTCAAGCCCCAAACTGGGGTTCATCCTGTTTCCTCTGTTACTTCTGACATAGCTAGTCTTGTCAATAGCATCTCCGGAACATGTTGAATAGTGCTTTTACACCTGTCTCCACTGTCGCAGCTCCAGTCCAGGTAACCAGCTTCTCTTTACCTGTCTTCTGCAGAGGCCTCTTCACTGGCCTCCTGCATCCACTCTCGTGTCCTTAAGCTTTGCCTTGCACACAGGGGCCTTGGCAGTCTTTAAAAAAAAAACTAGTTCATGTCTCATCCCAGTGGTGGAACTCAGTGGTACATAGAATATAATTTTAACTACTTTCTTTGGCTTCTGAGACACACCATGACTTGTCTTTTTCTGCTTTTCCAACATCACCTTGATATATGGATATTGTTAAAATTGGGATTTGATCTGAAATATAATTTGTTCTAGGTAGATTTTTTTTTACCTAATGTGTTAAGGAGATAGGATGATGATAATGAAATGCTGATAAATATTACTTAAATAGTGTTTATTACATGCCAGCTACTCTGCTAAGTCTGATATATCTTATCTCATTTAGTCCTTATAACCCTTTGAGGAAGGTGCTGTTATTAACCCATTTTACATAGAAGGAAACTGAAACTTGAAGTAATTGTCTTGCTCACAGACATACAGCTGGTAAGCAATGGAGGTGGTAGTTGAATTCAGTCTGTTAGACTCCAGAGCAAATGCTGTTAAATGTTAACCACTCTGTTTTATTGTAATTTGAATGACACCTTGCTCCCTTTGTAGGAGGGATGTGACAGAAACTAGTTGGAGGGGAAGAGCTGCCTTGTAGTGATGTTCTGCTTGAGTTCAGGAAAAAACCTTCTATCTACAAGTGATTGTTGATGCTCATAGCTTTTTTTTTTGTTGTTGTTGTATTGGTTTTTCATTCAATAGTGACTTGAAGGAGAGAAAGTGTTTTCCTTCTTGGTTGGCTTCTTAATCTGACCCTTTGAGAGAGTGGATATGGGTGGGGAGGCTTTCTGTAAATGCTCATGGTGTGGCCTGCAGAGCATGGCCCTGGCATTGTGACCATCTGGCTGTACTGAGGAATCCACCCCTTCCCTTTGCTGGGTTTGACATGACTGATGGACTCTTTGGTTCATGACCAGCCTGGGCACTGAACACTCTTTGAGTACCACCTTGTATTCTGTTGGTCAGGCTAGAACTGCACTGTAAATGCTAGCCACTGGTCACCTGTGGCCTTAAGATTTAAATTAAAGTTAGTTAAAATGAAATAAAATAATTTTAGCTGCTCACTTGTACTGGTCACATTTCAGTGCTCAGTAAACCCGTGTGGCTAGTGGCTACCATATTGGGCAAGTGCAGGTACAGGACATTTTCATCATCACAGGTAGCTCTATTGCACAGCTCTAGTCTAGACTGCATCAGTGCTCGGCAGTGTGACCTTCCTCGGATGGTTTTAATGATGTGGTGACTGAGGTTATGGAGCTAGATGGCTTTGTGTGTTTGTGAATCTTGTTTTCTGCCTTTTCCACATCCCAGCTCCCCCAGGATTGTGGGTGAGTGGAAACACCAAGGAAGATTTCCCTCAGGTGTACTATCTTCACCTCAGTCTTTAGCACAGCTTCCTAACTGCATGTCACAAGTGTGCTGGAGGTATTGATTCCTTAGACTCAGAGTCGCTGGGGAACACCTGTGTACCCTCATGTGTCAGATAAATTCTGTCTGCACCACGTGAAAAAGACTCAACAAAACTAATAGTGCAGGTTCTTTGACTACATTTCTCTCACCCTTTCCAACCCAGCCCTAGAAAAGAATGAAGATGTGCCGTGCTATTTTGATCTTGCCTTTAGGATAAGAATGCAATTAGACTACAATTGTGTAAATTAATAAAGAAAGATTTCTTCTTCCTCAGAATAAAAAAAATGTGTATAAAAGTAGAAAGTCTCAAAGTTTGTTCTCCTCAGTATTTGTCTCATTTGGGGGTCTTGTTAGTATGCAGTAATAGATTTTTTAAGATGTATAATTTATATGTGTTACAGAATAATATTTTAAGTCTACAAAAATACATTGATAAAAATGTCACTAACCTTTTCTACATTTTTCAGTGTCAAGTGAATTATATAGTAAATGTGAATTGAAATTCTGATATTTATCAAAATGCTTTCTTCCTCACAAAACTGTAATTCATATCAGCCCTCAGCTATTCATATGTGTGAATATAGGGCAGTGGATTTGATGGAGGGAGATTCCTAGAATTTATTATATAGGAACCAACTTTTGTCATATATATAGTTTTAAGAATATAATTTATTCTGTAACTCTAAAGAGTTTACTGAAACTATTTTTTGCCAAACCTTGAACCAGATCAATGACTCGTTGCAATAAGTATTTGCATGTTCAGGCAAAATAATATACTGTGTGACACATGGCAGATTGTAATGCCACTTTAATAAATGAATGTGCTCTAAAGAAATTAACTGTGTCCTTGCTGCCTCAGATTCTTTGCTGTGTAATGAGTTATCTCAACTATATTGGTTTGCTTTTATAATAGGGAATTTTTTTTTCTTTTGGCTGTCATAGGGTATGTCATCACACATAGTTATAATCTTACCTTTTCATTAACATCTTGCCATCTTTTGATTTTACTTATTTATTTTTAATTTTTATTGAGTTTATTGAGGTGACATTGGTTAATAAAATTATATAGGTTTTAGATGTACAATTCTATAATACATCATCGGTATATTATATTGTGTGTTCACCACCCCGAGTCAAGTCTCCTCCCTCTTCTACTTTCCCCCACCCCCTTTCCCTCTGGTAATCACCATACTGTTGTCTGTGTCTGTGAGTTTTTGTCTTTCTTTTTTTTCTTGGTCCCTTCTCCTTTTTCACCGAGCCCCACAACCCTCCTCCCCTGTGACAGCTGTCAATCTGAATCTATGAGTCTGACAGCTGTCTGTCTGTTCTCTGTATTTATGAGTCTGTTTCTATTTTGTTTGTTAGTTTATTTTTTCATTAGATTCCACACATAAGTGAAATCATATGGTATTTGTATTTCTTTGACTGACTTAATTTCACTTAGTGTAATACTCTCCAGGTCCATCCATGCTGTCACAAAAGGTAAGATATCCTTCTTTTTTTTATGCCAAGTGATATTCCATTGTGTAGATGCACCACAGCTTTATTATCCACTCATCTTCTGATGGACACTTGGGCTGCATCCAAATCTTGGCTATTTTAAATATCACTGCAATGAACATAGGGATGCATGTATTATTACAAGTCAGTGTTTCCAGGTTTCGAGGATGTATTTCCAGAAGTGGGCTCGCTGGGTCATAGCCGCTCTTTAAGGTTCATTTAGACATAACACTGTAGGGAGAGGTCACCGTAAACAAGCTGTGCTTGTTCCTTTGACTTGAGTTACAAGAACTGAAGGAAGTGGTGATATCAAGGTTTCTAACTTAATAATCTGAAAATTTGTTGATGCCAGTGTCTCAACTCTCCACTTATTTTTGTGTGCTGTAATAGATAATTTGCCTGACAATTCCTAAAAGGAAGAAATATATACAATATCGATTTAAAGGTGTGATTTAAATAAAATTCTCTAGTTAGTAGTTTGTTCTTAAAAAGAAATCCATAAACAGTCTACCTTTAATGGATGGTTGAACTCCTGCTGTTTGCTCCATCAGTCAACAAGTATTAGCATGCAGTGGTTTTTGACTTCAAGAGCTA